CTGTCGTCAAATTGGCCTATCAAAAAGACCTACCATACTTTGGCTTGAATGAGTCAGTGACTACAGCGTGAAAAGTGAAGTGTTCGCGAGGGTTGAAGCAAAAGGCGTGTTGTGATGTCGACACATCGTGACAAGGAAAATTGATCTTAAGCTCAGTCACGTCACCCCAGGTTGACACTTTTTTCTTAAGCAAACTGCTCACCAATGATGAAGGTCAGCTTTGTCATCTAACGGCATAAAGCCACCTTCTACAAAAAAAACAGCACAAAAGACTCGAAACAAAAAACTAGTCCGTGCGGCGAGGCAAGCGGAGCGAGCGGCTCTGGTGGTTCAGGTGCCATCGGCGGGAGCCACTCAGCGGCAAATGTCACGAATCGGCCGACCGGTCTGGCCGGACCGCATTCCTGCAGGCTGACCGGCGCCACCAGCCCTCACATGGCCCCCTCTAACTGGCGCCGACGGCTGAGAAGTCCGCACCTCAGGGTCACATGGCTCACCGCACATGCCCCCCCCCCCCCCCTCTAACCGGCGCCGACGGCCGAACCGCCCGCACCTCAGGGTCACATGGTTCACCGCACATGGCCCCCTCTAACCGGCGCCGACGGCCGAACCGTCCGCACCTCAGGGTCACATGGCTTACCGCGCATGGCCCCCTCTAACCGGTGCCGACGGCCGAACCGCCCGCACCTCGGGGTCATATGGCTCACCGCACATGGCCCCCTCTAACCGGCGCCGACGGCCGGACCGCCCGCACCTCAGGGTCACATGGCTCACCGCACATGGTCCCCTCTAATCGGGGCCGAAGGCCAGAGCTCCCGCCTCTTAGCGGTGTGCGGCCTGCTTCGCGTGACACTCACGTGGTCTCCCTAGCCGGAGCCAGCACACGGACCGTCCGCCTCTCATGGTCACGTGGCACAGCTCACATGGAACTCCCATGGTCCCCATAGAACCACCTCCGGCAGCTTAACTGTCCACCCATCAGGGCAACGCGACTCATCCTGCATGACACTCGCAAGGTTGCCGACCAATCGGCCACATGGAGCCGGCGGTCGGACCGACCTGAGCACATGGCTCCCTATATTATACTCACGAGGCACCGTTTAACGAGGGCCGGAGGCTATTACCGTCCGCCGTCCTGGGTCACATGGTTCACCCCGCGCGGCACTCGCATGGCCTCCCTCTGTCCGGAGCCGGCAGCCGGGCAGTCCACCTTTCATGGTCCGCCTGCCCCCACATGGCCCTCACATGGCCTCGCTTTGACCAGAGCCGGCAGCCGCTACCGCCGCCTCCCAGGGCCACGGCGATCGCCCCGCATGGCACGGCGCTAGTCGATCCGGTGTGATACGAGCGGGGCTGGACGGACTGACGTCCTGCAGGTCGTTGGTAGCAGGGCCAGCTCTGCGGTTTCCAGTCGGGGACAGCCGTGGGCGACACAAAAGCGGCGCGGGGGTGGTCCGGTGATAATCCGCGGCCCGGAGGACTCCCCGCGCGCGCCGCTCTCCTGCCGCGCCGCCTGCGCGTCCGAGTCAGTGTTCGGAGCGTTATCTCCGTGAATCTAACGTCGCCGCGGGTCACTGATGAGCGCGATCGACGGCCGACGGACGGCCGCTAACGAGGACTTCTGACGAGGCGCGCGCCGCCGGCGGCCGAGCGTCCGAACGCATACCAAACGTCCGACGCGACACCGGCGGCCGCCGTCGGTCAGGCCGAGAGTCGCGAACGTCGCCGGGAAGCCGCCACCGGCCGTTCGGTCCGGCGTGGCCGCGCTGGGCAGCCGGGCAGCGGCGCCTCCGCGCGCGGTGACCAATTACCGGGCCGGCTCTGCACCTGAGAGCCGGCGGCACACACGGGGCGTCCGGCCGCCGTCCGGCCGCCGGCGCGGCCGCCGGACGCCACAAACAAACAGCGTGACGCCGGCGTGTTTTAGCGCACTCAACGAGCGCCAATCAAGTCCGAGACGCATTCCTGCGCCGACGATGAGCGCCGTCAGCGCCGGGGAGTGCTCCGAGCGCAGCGAAGCCGCGACAAAGGCGGCGCACAGCGGGGCGCGCCAGCGAGGCGAGGCGCGCCGGGAGGGGCTCACGAGCCGAGGCCGGCCGCGCCACACTCACCCACATGCCGGCGTTGAGCAGGCAGAATGTGTGCCGCACGCAGCCGTAGCCGCTGCCGCCCATGGTGCGCGGCCGGTGGCTGCAAACACACGGTCGGTCGATGCGTTAGCTCGGGTGATAGCGCGACCCCGCCAGCCGGTCAGGCGGGGGATCGCCCCACCCCAGGGGCCACCGTCGTCCGCCGGAATCGGGCGCCGCTGCTGCTGCACGCGCAGTCGAGGAAAGCCTGCACTGCACGGCACTGCGACGGCAAAATGTGTTATCAGACTGGAAAACGTAAGGAAAAACAGCCGCCACAGTGGCGGGTTAAGCAACACTTTTAATCAAGTCAGTGCCTAACACAGTTGACATGCGTGGATTAGTATCGCCAAGGACGGGACCCGTGCACATTGCGCAACATAAGCGCGCGGTTTGGCGTGGGGTCTTAGGGAGACACGACTCAGAGGAGGTAATTTAAGGCAAGAATGACGCCGACCTGTGGCCGTTGGGCAGGTACGGGTCTTTGGCTGGCGCTGGCTCCAGTGGGGAGGTGCTCCGGGGGCTGGGAGCTAGGACCAGCTCCTCCCGAGCATCGCGGTCGCGCTGGTCGGTGGCCGTGGCTGCAGCCGTGGTCCCGGCGGCCGGGGTCCGTGGTCTGCGCTCCGTGGTCCTCCGCCCTAGTCCTCGGTCCTCCGTCCTGGTCCGCGGTCCTCCGCCCTGACCCCAGGCTCCACCGCCGCTGAATCCGTCGTTCTCGATCCTGGCCCCCGGTCCAGGGTTCCGCCGACCAAACCGTCGTCCCTGGTCCGCGATCCTGGGTGTGTCGTCCGTGGTCCCTGGTCCGCACCACACACGCACCCGGCCCGCTTCTGCACAGCTGCGCGGCGCGACCAGCACGGGTCGGGGGGCCGTCGCGGACTGGGCGGTCCGCGCGGCCGGCGGCCGCCGCCCGGCTCCGCCGTACCTTTTAGCGTACGGCGACTCATGCCGTCCAGCCAGTGGCTCTCAAACCACCCGGCGCCCGGACCGGGGCGCTCAAACGCGGCAGCGCTGCGGACGGTCGCGGCGCGATAAAGCTGCTGGAAGGATGGTCGCGTGCGCGGCCAGAGCGTGTGCGGCGTAATGCGTGGGCGTGACTGCGAGTCGATCGCTCTCAGCGGGGTCGCGATGGAGGTGATCGGGTTCAGTTCGGGAGCCCCCGATCTGCTCGCCTGGCGCTCGCTGATGTGCGGGCGTCGGCGGCGTGCGAGGCGCGATGGGCGGATTTATTGGCCGGTCCGCCCGTCCCGCCAGTCGGTATCGCGGCCGGGACGGGCCCGCCCGGCAGGAGATCTCGGCTGGCGTCTCGGGGCGGCCCACTCCACCCCAGTTCCCACGGCGCCCCCTCCCAGCGACGGCGCGACGGCCTGTGGAAGGGCTCGGTCGGTGATGGTATCTGCTCAGTCCCTCGACGCTCCGGCGCAGAATCAACCGCTGGAGTGAGATGAATGAGCGCCAGGGTTTTAAGCACGGTCGAAGGTCCACTGTATAAAAAACGCGGCACGATGGCGGGGATTGAACTCAGCGCCGGGAGGCCGTCTTCCTCAGCGCCGGGAGGCCGTCTTCCTCAGCGCCGGGCCGCTTTATGTTATGGCTAGCTTCCAAGGTAGACGTCCGGCTGCCAAGTTAGGGGACCACATCGGCCGAGCAGCGCATGAAATCGCGCCCCTGATAACACGAGGCTCTTTTCGCTGGCGTCAGGGCTGTCTGCCAAGCCAAACAGACGGAATGACCCTCGAAATCGTGCCGGCCGCGGCGCGCGTCGATGAATCGAAGCGTAGACCAAACACGACGGCGTTCGCCCAAGCGAGCATTGCGCCAGAGTTTGCGCCGCCCGGACCCCCACGAGCGCGACAGCCAGCGAGCCCGCGCACACACTCAGGGACCACAGCTCGCCGGCTGCGCGGTCGGCGCGCCACGGTCTGCGACAGCCAGCGAGCCCCGCACTCACTCAGGGACCACAGCTCGCCGGCGGTCGGCGCGCCGCGGTCTGAGCCGCGCGATGCGTGCCGTCCCCGCAACCTCCGATCGCGGCCGGTGACGCGCGGAGTGAGCCGACGCCGCCATCGGCCGGCGCCGCGGCCGGTCTTTCGTCGATGTCGGCGGCGATCAGCAGGCGATACGGGCGTGCAGACCGCGCGTCAGATCTACAAGCAGCGGCGATCGCATCGCGACGTTGAGCGAGTGGCAAGACAGGAAAAGCGGCGTAATTGTTTCGTGACGGGTTCGGCCCCTATCGGCCGGTGTAATTGGACTAGCAGGGCTATCGGCCGATCACGCGCTTTTTGTCGTCGCGCCTCGGACGCGGATGGGGCGTGCTTGAGCCACGAGCGGCTCACACCCCGTTGAGTAGAACAAAAACGCGCCTCATTCTATTCCTGCTGAGGAGGCGACGACATCCGCCGGGGATTGAAACACCCTGATGGACTGATTACTTATGGACTGGAGAACGCCCGGCATGTCTAGGGCCTGCTTGGGCTTTTACAGCCACAAGCGCCGTGAGCCTGGGAGGGGCCGGCCACGTTGCTGCGTTCTTTGTCCGAAGTGATCGCCCTCGATGAATAGCTTCCACCACTGCAATGTACCACAATTTCTGCTATAATGTAAGATGAATTTCAACTAAGGTGCTCTGTGGCCCCGGTTGGGGCCGATTTCGGGCCGTTTACGCCGATAAGTTAAATCGATGTGATAGCACATATTGCTTAGAATGTATGGTCGCAGCCTGGGCTCGAAGCGAACCGTGCACATTGTTCTGCAAAGGCATCGTCCAGGAAAAAGCACATCCCATTTTAATTTCGTTCTACTCCATTAAAACGGCTGTCAAAGCTCGCCATCCCTGCAGGAGTTGACGAGCCCTCCAGCAGCGAGTTCTTGGTGTTGTCCCGGAGAGCCCACCAATTGGGCGTCCGAGCTCGAGTCCGCCTCGCCTCCGGCCCCTAATAGACATTAATAGACGAAGCTCACCGCAGTCGAAAATTAAATCACAGCGCGAGGGGCGGCTGTGCGTGCGGGAATGTCCCAGCTGCGGGGCGGCCATTAATTAGGGTGGCCCTCTCGCCGCCGACCCCGGCTGACAAACGACCCGGTCAGGAAGGGCGGCGCTGGCAGCCGGGCAGACGCTGCAGCAGCGTCTGCAGCGGGCGGCGCCGCGCGCGACAGCTCCGCCCCGTGTCCGGTGCCGGACGCGCCGCCGCCCGCCGCCCGCCGCCCGCCGTCCGACTGATGACCGGCTGAAATATGTGTGAGCGGGTTGCAGCGCCTCGTGAGGTGAAAGCGCGCGCGGCCCGCGGCTGCAGCCGCCCGGCGTGGGACGGTCCCGCGCCGGTGTCGAAGGTGAATGAGATCAGGTCGACCCCGCGACGGGCTTCTGTTCCTGTCGCATGTGTTACGCGCCTGGCAGCCTTGCCCGTGACAGATGCGCTGCTTTGGCCTGTTGTCTGTAATCAGACCCGTTGACCCCGCAGTTTTCATCACAACCAGGCAGGTGAGGATAACGTCGTGGGGTGACTGGCGATCAGTTCAAATTGCAGTCATGCTGCACCGAGAAGCACAGTCCGGACATCGCATCCATGACAGCCCGTGCAGGGTTCTCCAATCGCCGCCGTGCTGCCAAGGATAACAGACGGCCTACAGGCCGGGTCTCAGCGGGGCTGATCGACTGTGGCGTCGGCGGCGGACCTCGACCACCGGCCGCACCGCCATGTACGGGGCGACGCCGAACTGCACTTCCGCGCCCGCTGCAACGTGACGCCGGCCAAGGTCCGCTGGCGGCGGCGGCTTCCGTCAGGCCGGGTCACCTGCAGCGGCGCCGACGGGGCCGCCTCTGCTGCGTCACCCCCGCCCATCAGCGGCCATCCGTCGCGCCAGCCCGACGGTGCTGCACGCTCGTGGACTGGCTTTGTTGCCCGCGCTCTCTGCCGCATCATTGCCGCTTGCGCGTGCCCCGCGGTGGGGGAGGAGGGGAGGGGGTGGAGTGAGGAGGGAGGGTGTTACGTGTCGAGGGGACGGTGTCCAGCGACCGCGGGCGAAATTTTTTGAATGATCGAGAGATCAAAAAGCGTGGCATAGCCGAGCTCTTGCAAGCACCTGGTATGAGAGACGAGAGCAGGCAGAAAGTGAACCCGTCTAATGATGGGTGCGCACCTGCGCAATATCCATCAGTGGAGCTGGAACGAAGCGGACCCCGGAAGACGATGATGAAATAATTGACGTGCATCCGCTATGATAGGCCGGTTAAGCCAGCAGACGGCGGAGCCACCGGCAGCTGATCGCATGCAATCTCTGCAAAGTTTCTGGTTCCTGCAGAGACTCAGAAGATGGCTGGACCAGTTCGCGATGGTGAAGAGGAGACCGGCTTTGGTTGTCATAGAGGTAGGTTGCTACCGTATCGATATCAGAAATGCATAGAATCTGTTTGTGATAACCGTGTAGCTGTATTTTGCCCGGACGTCCATTAAAGGCATCATTCCTAGCATGACTCCGCCGTCCTTTTCTCCTTTTCACTGCAGTAAACGAATGAGTGTGTTACCGACAGCAATTTCCTAGCATAACAGAAGTCGTTATTCGTGGTCATATTTTACAAACTTGTAAAGTTATATTAAAGCGCCTGTTAAAAGATTCGTGTTAAAGTTATTGTGAAGTCTGATAGCCAACTGATATCGCCTTGTTATTGTTTACCCTTGGATTGGGTGGGTCAAATTGAGGTCAAATGGCACACATCCTTGCTCAAGCTTGAGACGAGAGTACGCGTAAATGCTTACGCCGTTAATAGGGTGTAAAAGATAGGAAATATTTTCAGTGCCCACCATCTTCCACATCTTATGTATGTTTAAGAAATTAGCAAAAACCTGCTGTTTGCACCGATATATAACATGCATAAACCTGACACGAGTGCTCCCGAAATAGGTCAAAAACGTATTTCCAGAATGTCAGTGCAAAGTTTCAATAATCTTGACTTTTCTGATCCTTATCAGACGGATCAATTGGGCACAGAACTGGTGGGACATAATCCGAAGGATAGTATTTTCGCACGTAGAGCAATAGGATCAATTCCGAACAAAAACATCCCGGGCTAAACACTGGATCAGAAAATTGTAATAACAGACCCCGGCATCTACTATCGCGGTATGCTGTTTCAACTATTGTCACATTCGCACCAAAATGACGGAAAATCTTGATTAATATGTGGCAATTTTCCCTACTTCCGAAACATCACATAGCGTTCGCTTCATAAAAACAGCGCCTTCTTCAAACGAATAGGGCTAAGAAGAGCAAAGCCGTGAAAACTGCAGCATCTGGACCCAGTCTCCTTACTGCGCGCCTACTGTGCGCACAAAGGAGGCCAGGAGGACCGGAGGCAGCAGATTTTCTCCGGCTGGGCGTCGGCCTCTGCTCTATCGTCGCCCATTTTTCAGCCCTCCGCCAGCCATTGTTCCCAGGTAATGAATAGCCCGCCCCCTAGCGACCGCAGGAAATAACAAGAAACCGTGTCCGCGCCGCGCTCAAAGGCGCGGCGGAGGTGTGTTGTGTGCAGCGACCAGCCTCCACTTTGTTCGGCGAGCCGGTGTAAAGGGTTGACGGGGCGGGCTCTGCAGACAATGCTTGTTTGCTTAGCTTCTGGTAAACAGCGCATAGCTTCCGCGAAAGGTGTCGTGTGTCTGCAGCGCCCTGTACAAAACTTTCCAAAGCCAACACATACTTAATAGCGAGTCCTCTGGTTATGCAGCCACGTGACATGCATTTTCTTCATAGTTCAAACACTGAACACAGTGATGTCTTATAGCTTCATCCGGTTCGCCTGTCGGTATGGAAAATACAGCGGGGATTTACCATAGCATGCAGCGTGTGCATACACATAAACACTTCG